TGGCCACCATTGTGCCAAGACTGCCCACCATTATCACTGTACAATACCATGGAATAGTCCACACAACCAAACTGATTGTTATGCCCTACGGAATTATGCAAAGAACTTAAATCACTATGCCAGTACTAATGGATGTTTTTACTTTAAAAATTTTGTGTTCACAGATACTATATTCGAGGGCTTGTACAGATGAACAGAAATTCACAGTTCAAAATGCATCAATATCAACATGTCTCTCCCTAGATACCATATCCAACCCAAATATTGGTAATCATAGTTCTGCACACATTCAGTATTCAGTTTAATAATTATAATAGTGGTTTGCCATTGCTGTCTGCAGAGAATTTATGAGACAACAACTAGATAGAATCTAGTTGCAGCCATCACGTTTTTAGGGTAAGTTCAATCATTGATTATTGTATATCGATCAATAATTACCTCTTCTATCTTTAATATACACATTACCAGGCACTATTAATCTTCCTGATCTTAACTGTATACCATGACCAGGCCCTGGAATCAGAATGTCATTTTTTTTACAAGCAATTGCCAAAATTTATCGCAAATCTGTTACAATATTAAACTCTCCACAAAACTATTGTGTCACCATAGTTGTGTCCATTGTGTCACTGCAGTCGTGTCTATTGTCACTGTAGTCATGTCTATTGTCACTGTAGTCATGTCTATTGTCACTGTAGTCATGTCTATTGTGTCATTGCAGTAGTGTCTATTGTGTCACTGCAGTTGTGTCTATATGTAACAATTCAGTGAAATTGTAAATTATGTCACCATAATGGTGGTTTACTGTTGTCGGGATATTATTATGAATATTGTTTACATTGGCTGCTGAATAAATGTTTCAAACTTTTAAGGTAGCGAGAAGGTAAATTTTCACTTTTTTCTTGATTTTTCAAAAATTGATAAAACGGTTACTTTAGACCTTGATACATCACCCCAGGTTTACAAAAGATCGAAATTGCGAAATAACGTTGCTCAAATTAGTGTTTTAAAACACTAGCAGAAAAGACTACAACTGGCGTTTCGTGGATATTTGCATAATGTTTATCTTTGAAAGGGTTTAAATGATAACATCTTATCTGTATACTCTGTTGTTGACGATTCTGATATAACGGGTGATAAGCTTCCAGTTGCAAACAATGCATGTTTATCTAACGTCTATTGTCAGCATTATTGTCAGTCGAGACTTCGTCGGAGAAACATGGTCATACAGTACTCATTTCGCCCAACCTTCTGCTTTTACATCGACCGCTTATCGCTTAATTTCCGACCACGCGGTCTTGTCCGACCGGAAACCGACTGCATTTTAATCTCGTTTTTTTTTTTTTTTTTTTTTCGCTCGCTCGCTCATTGAAAACATTGACCGCTCGCCCAAACACTGAGCACTGGCACATGGGTGGTCGACATGGTGGTTTTGATAGTAAAGTGTGAACATACAACTAGTATTAATAATAATAATAATAATAATTTATTTACCTAGAAAATATTTCATACAATACTCAAAATTGTACATGCAGTCTAGGTAAAATGGAATCTGAAATAGCTTAAAAGCTAGTCGAATATTAACTATTATTACATTCTGAACGACACTTCAAATCTTAGACTAATAGTTGTATTACACTTGTATCGTGAAAGCAACTGAACTGGGACCTCTTGTTACGTGTTTTGGGTGCTTGTTCTAGTTGTAATATTTTTTTACTCTGGTTTACTTTATTTCACAACTTGCAGAGAAAACTGATTCGCGTGAACTCTAATGTATCTTGACCTAGTAATTTCTTTTTGAACTAAA